AAGGTGCAGCCAAAGTACTCCTTGGAGGCAAAGATGGTGAAGTTTCATCTCACAAACTTTGGGCACGTTGCTAAGAGAGACTATTCCTTAGAGAGGGACATATGCTTGGACAGGTGGAGGGGTGGTGAAGAAGAGGATGACTCTCAGCCAAATGAACAAGAGCTCTTTAAACACCAGTGTTAAGGGTTCTAAAATGCTCTCAAGAATATCTACAAGAATATTTCCATTAGATTGAAATATACATAAACCGCCAAAACAAATGCATGCTGGAGCCAAAAAAAAATCAAAATACACTTCCCTTCTCTTCAGAATATCAAGCTAAAAGCAATGAGGAAACTCTTTACAAACAAGCAAGCAAAGCTACATTTAAAAGCCATAAAAGAATTGGCATGCTCTTCCCAAACAGTACCAACTGCCACCTAATTATTTCTTTTGTTTACAGACCTATGTGGGAATTTCATACAAACATGCAAAACTGAACCAGTTTCCTAATAAGGCAAGGCAAGTCTACTTAAGAAACTAACTTTAAACCATCAAGCATTTAAGATCCAAGACAAAATATTTCTCTATATCTTTCATCATCCAACACTTTGTACATCAACAAGCATTTACAAGAACATACTGTATGCAGTGTCACTGGAGCGCTGGTAGCACAATTTACAGCATGTTGAGATGAGAACAGAAAGGCTGGTGGTTCAAATCCACCAGCAGCTTTAAGGGAAGAAGATGGGCAGTTTAGTTTCCCTCTCGTAAAATGTAAAGCCTCATCTCACTCCCTGATTTCAAATCCTACCACACTGTCGTGGTAGTTAAGACAGCATGGTACTAGTACAATGACAGACACATAGATCAATGGAACAGAATTGAGAACCTGGAGATCAGCCCATCTATCTATGGTTAAGTGATTTTTTTACAAGGAGATGAAATCAGTTAAGTGGGGTAATGACAGCCTTTTTAACAAATGGTATCGGCAAAATTGGAAAAATAGCGGCAGAAGATACAAGCAAAATCCACACCTCACTCCATATAAAAAAACCAACTCAAGGTGGATCATGGACCTAGGACTAAAACCAAGGACTGACTATACACTTCATTAA